TCCATCTGACTGTGTAGGCATCGATGCCACAGTCACCTAGTTTTTTAACTAGGATGGGGTGAGAGACGGTGTCAAAGGCCTTGCTGAAGTCCAGAAAGACTACATCCACCGCGACACCTGCATCCATGGCCTTTGTGACCTGATCTGTACCCTGCTTCCCCTTCACAGACTGAGACTTGCCTGTCGTGATGGGCAGTGATCCACACGCTGGGCTGTGAGTGTGCTTGCTCTTTCCCTCCCCTCCTGTGGCAGCTGCTCAGAGCCCACGCCCAGTCTGCCCTGCAACCTGACCTGCTGCTTCCCATTTGAGGGGCCTAGGCCCCATTAGCCCAGGTCTTCCACCACCTATGCTTCTGTTAAAAATTTCTTTTTCTGCCCCCTGTGGATTCAGAGTTGAAGTTCTTAACAAAACACTTACCTTTGCTTGAATCCACAAATCCATTTTAGGCTGCCTTAAAGAAAAATGCATTTAGACATATCTGTATCTTTGATGAATTTCCAACTTTCTCCTATGCTTGTTAAAGTGGAAGTAAGATTTGAGTTGAGGGTTGAGTGCAGTCTTTATTTGGTAACTTTTCAATAACCAAATGTTTGTTTAAGCTGATGAATGCTGACGGTGTCCCCATTCACTTCCATGTTATTGCTAAGCTATATATTTTTTCCATCGGTTATACCCCTTTATTTTCTAACATAATACTTAAGTTGGATTCTTATCTTATCTTTTTCATAATGGATAACTCTATCGTCTCTATGATTCTAAAAGGCTTTTTCAGACTTTGCTTGCTTGTAGGTTGAATTGTCACACACAAGAGCTGTCATCAGCAAAATCTTCATCTTTTTGTAGACTGGTGGTAAACCAGTTGATGCCTGGAGCTGTACACATCTACATTTTTTTCTCATCATGAAATCGTGGCAGTGCCAAGCAGGAGAAGTGATAGAAGGAATCTTAATTTGATACCAGTGTCTGTAAAATCATTCACAGAAGTTGGAGTGGTAAGGCACTTTTAGTTCTTGTTGGCTGCCTGTACATAGAGGGTATGTCTAAATTCCGAGCCCACACTGGAGGTTAACTGGCTGAGTTGGGGCTGCATATTAGATGTTTCCTTTCAGTCAGGATTTGGAGTGCCAGGCAGGGGTGATATTAGGATGATGGTGTTAGCCCAAGTGGTTTTACTGTACCTAGCAAGGGAAATCCCCTTTTTCCTGGCCTTGAATGACTTGGTGTAGTTGAGGGTGGAGACCTGTCCATTGCAGTGCAGGCAGTCACCCCTATGAGAGTCTACTATAGCCTGCCAGTGGGAGGATTTTGGCTACACAGTGTTTGGTAATTGGGGATTGCTCTCCAGCTCTGCCTCTAGCTCGCTCCTGTGTCTTTTTGGCTAGGGGCAAGTGAGACTAGGGAGCATCTGAACTCTAAGGTCTTCAGGCTTGGGGTTTGCATGTAGGATGCTTGCCACAGATTTGGAAGTATCTGAAGCCCCAGGCTGAAAAGTCTGGGAGGTAGGATACTTGCCGGTGGTAGTGCTACACAGACTTGAATAACTGAGCTCTGCTGAACTGATAGAATTTAGAACTGATTTGGCTGATTTGGCCTGACACACAGAATTAAAAGAGAAAAAAAAAGAGTGCCAGGCTGAGGCATTTTCAGCTATAGAAAATGGGTGAATGAATTTTTAGCATTTAGATTACCCCCCCCCCCATCCCCAAATATACTGCATTATTAAGAGGCAAGTGCACCTGTGGCCAGTTAATTATTAATGAGGCTAGATTGAATACAGCTGGCTGCTTCTGGAAAGAGGAAGTTTATAGCTGAGAACAGGGACAGAATTGGTGTGAAGCTCTTGCACACAGCAGGGAAAAACTACCAGAGCTTCTTAGGAAGAGGAATGGCAGGAAGCCCCTGAAAAAGAGAAAAGAAAGGAGGCGCAGGGAGACAAGTGTGTGGGCTGATGTTTCTTCACAAGAAATGGGATGCGCAGGAGTAGCTCCCAGCAAGTAGATACTATTTAGTTTGACACTTTTCCTGAGTGTTGCTGGGGGGGGCTCCATGAAGAAGCTCTTAGTCTCATTTTGGAAAGAAGAGCAGAACCAAAGAGGAATCTGGCGAGAAAGAAAGCCCCTTATGTTAGTAGGGGATTTTTAAAAATTAATTTTGAAGTTTTACAGATGTTACAATGTTGTAAGGTGTCAAACTAAGTGTGACATGGCTGGAGGTCTCTGTCAGAGGAGAGAGAGACCATTGCCAGACCCTGAGTGACAGGTGAATGAAAGTCTGCAATGCCAAGTCCAATTAACAAGGGGGCAAACTGGGTGGTGCATCACTCGCTGGCCAGAATCCTTTAACACAGTGGTCTCCAACCTTTTTATGGTGAAGATCACTTTTTGTAAGTAAAGGGCACCCCAGGATCTACCACCCGCTCAGCCCCTTTGGCTCTGACCCCACTCACTCAGCCCGGCCCAGGGAAGTAGGAAGTGTGGCTCAGCCCAGCCCAGCCATGTGCATCCTACTGCTCCTGATTGTGGAGCCTCTGACAGACTGAGATCGACTGTCAGAGGCTCCATAATCGACTAGTCGATTGAGATCGACCAGTCAATTGAGATCGACTGGTTGGTGACCACTGCTTTAACAGCTGTTCACATTCAGGTAGACTTTCATGTGAATTTTAATCATGTTCTAGTACATATTAATTACTATGATCATAAAATCTAGTAGAGTCAAGAAACAGAGGTTTATTGGTGATTGTTAGTTTAGAAAGGTAGCAGCAAATGTTTGTATCCTGGAACACTTTGATGTGCAATGTTTAACTTACAAAGTATGATCATGTTCATTACCTCCGTTACTCCATGCTGACACAATTACAAATTTGAATGTAGATCTGTCTTTAGCTATCTTTACTTTTGTCCACATTTCATATATATATATGTGTATGTGCATATGTATGTTGGGTGTGTGTAATATATACTAGCAAATTGCCTGTCAAGAATGATGGGGGGAGGCGGGTGGGCAGGGATGGAGCGCCACCACCCTGTGCTGCTGCTGTGTCCCAGGAGCGGTAGGCGGGGCGGAGAAGCTTGTCCCGCCATCCCCTCCGTGCCCCTCCACCAGCAACCTGTGCTGCTGCTGCCTCCAGTGCCGCTGGCCTGGCTGCCCCCCCCCGCACCCTGGCCCTCCTCCTCAGAGGCGAAGTGCTGCCATGACTGAGGGGATGGAGTGGGGGGGGGGCGGGGGCCTCATGGCAGCGCTCTGCACTCTGATGGGTTGTTTCACTAACCAATTGGAGTGCTCTAAGAACATTACAGACAGACAGACTAAGCCCTTTATTATATAAGAATAATATACATACAGTATATTTACAATATAAATGTCAATGAAAATGAGTTCTTGAGCACTGAGTTCATCACCCTACCAGAGCAGAAACCAGTACCAAGCTGGAAGACATTCAGATAGTGAGCTAATACTTATTTTTACAAATGTTATCTTAAGATCTGTAAAACTTATCTTGTTTTACAGACCTTATCTTCAGATCTGTAAAACAACCAAGACAGGAAGGGCATACCTATTTAAATAATGAAGTTAAGCAAGAACTAATCTAAGACTCTTTTTTTTCCCCCTTCTCTCTAGTTCAGGAGTTTGTTGAAGCACTGAAGACACCTGCACAATCTTTAACTTGACAGATATTATGGAACTTAACTTTTTTTTTTTAGAACCCATTTTTGCTAAATTTTGGGAGAGGAAAATCTAAATGCCAAACATTTATGCATACATATTATGGTTTTGGAAGTATCTTAGTAATTTCTCTACAGATACAAATATGAAGAGATAGAAGTTATTGAACTTACAGCCCCACTGTGGTCTTCTGACCTCTCTTAAATTATCCTGTTACTTTAGCCACTAGAGGGACCCCCAGGAATATAATATACGAAACGTTGACATACACTGCTTTCAAATTTCAAACTTTTCTTGACAAACCTACATAGGTCAAACAAAACACATTTCTTTTATTTCTATTGATCTTTTAAATAACAGAAAAAATCTGAATTAAATAGCTGCATGATGTACTTCACCAAGCAGAAAACCACTCTGCTGCTTTGCTATGTATTTCTCTCTAAATTAGAATACCTCTCTACTTTTTTTAAAAGGTTATTAATAGTTTTTTTACTAATCTAGGGGATCCTATGACCCCAGCTGACTTCCTGCCCTTTGGGTGGGGTGCTGGACTCGATGATCTTCCGAGGTCCCTTCCAGCCCTAAAGTTTAAAAAAAAAAAAAAAAAAAAAA